GGAAACGCAAGCGATCTAGGGTGGGGTGACCAGACGCTACAGGCAGTCTCAATATGATGGACTACTTCATCCTAAATTGATAAACTAATGCCAGGCAGGCGTTCAGTATCGGTAATACACTGAGACAGTGGCAATATGACCTTGCATAGACATTGAAACAAGTGGAATCTTTGTTTAACTGCTAAATAATTTATCAAGGTGAAGTGAAATTCTCTCTAGCTTTCAATTGAATTCTTTTTTTAAATAAAGGTTCTCCTATTTACATTTTTTTAATAAGAAAATTGCCCTTATGTGGCAACACTATAGTTATCATTTTATTCCTTTCGCTTTCAATTCCTCTTTCTCCGTGCTGAACATGCATTGGAGGGAATGGAATCACTACAGCGATTTCCCATTGTGCTCCCCCCCCCCCCCTTCCCCCAACCACTACTGAATGGCGCCACACGTTATCTTACTGAGCGACATCTACTGTCTCTCAAGGTAAATGCCCTCAGCTAAATTGGCTGATTCCCACTTTCGCTACAGTAAGGGGAGGCTGGAGGGGGAGGGGGGCACAATCAATCGAGATTCACTGAAGAAGGCTCTTGCCATAGCAAAGTGACGCTTCTGGCAAAATCAGACGAGGCAGATGTGTCGCTATGGGCTTTCTCAGGCGAGACTAGCTCTGCATCATTCCCAGTCCCAGTCACAAAGCACAGCCAGCACATAATGAACGAATCGCATCGGCTCGTGAGTAAGAATTAAGGCTGTACAGATGCATCGGCAACCATTGGAATCGGACGCCGATTTGGCGTCATTTGCGCCATTGACCATTGACAGGTTTCCACAGCGCCGTACCGAGGACACTTTTTGTTTTGTTTGTGCCCTGTGCGAAATATCAGTCCAGCGCCCCCCCCCCCCGTACCTCTCCAGCTTCCACAGCACCAACAATACATTACGTATTAATTTCTATGCTTAATTTAGTTAAATTCAAGATAATTTGCTATTTTTTAAGTTTAATTTATATTTTGTAATAATCCGGCAGCCAATCAGCGCCTTCCTCAGTTCGGCGCCCTGTGCCGCTCGCACACCCCTTGAAACATGCATCTCTTTCTGTGTTTGAAAGCGGAATCGGACTTTATGTCTGTTCCGAGAAAACGGACTTGCATTCGTAGTTGCTCTCTTCTCACTTCACCGCAGAATTTGTCGGGTTTTTTTTTTGTGACTTTTGTCGGTCTCGATTTACCAATCTCAAATTCCTTCGCTTCTCGAATATTCGCGGAATCGAACTGTCGCCGTCGGGATTCGTAGATTGTTTCCATTTAACCATCTGACACCAAACAAATCTAGAAAAAAGGTTTTCAGGTTTTCAGGATTTCAGGATAGTTAGTGATATCAAGAGGCGATTTCGCCTCCCCCCCCCCCCCGCCCCCCCCCCCCCCCCCCCCCTTCCCCCAAGAAAAAAATCCACAATAGTTGTACGTTGGGGGAAGGAGACCAACCATTCGTCTCGAGTGCGCTCCAATACCTCTCCCCGATCGTTTTGAGACCCATTTCACTGTATGCAAACGATTCAGGCTGCGTGGAACCATATGATAGTACTCGAACGATGTAACGTTTCCAGTTATTTATGACAGACTTCGAATGTTGAGTGATGTATCTGGCTCGATAATACACCTGGTCCCGATTGTAATTTTATGAGCTCATCAGAATCATTAATTCATCCCCATTGAGCAGCACAGGGAATTTTTTCCCCCATCAATTCTCATGAATTAGAAACGACGAGCCTCGCTCCACCTTTTCACCTCGGGTAAAATGGCAAATGGCAAATGGGCAAAAATGATGCAAAAAAGCAAGAAAGTTCCCCGAACCTTCCTTCCCCCTCCCACCAATCAAACAAATTCCTTCGCTCGGTTTGATAGCATCTTCGCCCATTCTCTCCTCGCCCCGACAAAGAATCTTTTCAACAACATTCAGCATTCATCATGGAATGTGCTCATATTTAAGTATTTATCGATTGTACTTCCTCGCTTTTATAGAGAAAAATCACTAACCCCAGTTTCGCTCCCTTTCTCGAAAATCGCTCACTCTTTTCCAAGGTTGCGAGAGCGATTCACAATTTTCCATGCAAATGCAGACTTTCCTTCTCCTCAACTCAATTTTGTTCGAGACGGCAAATAAAAAATAAAAAAAAAAGATGACCGAAAAGACGAAGCGCCCATCGCAGAAAAAGCGGGAGCAAGCATGGAGTTCTCTCATTTTATTTTGGAACGAGTTAGAGCGAATATTTTTAATGGTGCACTTCGGAGCACGGAGTTTACCAGTATTAATTCGAGAAAAATCGGATAGACTCTTTCGGAGCCGCTTTCAGGCATTTTTCCTTCTGCATAGATGAGAAGCGCCGATCGGAGTGGCCGCTCCCCATTATGGCTCCAAAGGGCTTGATGCATCGTGCATGCGTGACGCGAAAACAATGGGAAATTGGCGGATGAAAAGGCCTTATCGAGAATTTCTCCCGCTCTGGGTCCATTAGCGTCTCAATAATTGAATAATACTTGATCACGCAGCCCGCGTTCGCTCCTGCGCCTCGAGGCCGCGAAAAAAAAAGGACTTTGTCCACATGGGAGACGCTTCCGTTCCGGAGTTACTTGCTGCCATCAGCGTATGCTGCTGGGTGAGTTTGTCGTGGGCATTCCATGATTTGTGTAATAAATCTGAGGCACGACCTGAAGCAATGAACATTTTGTCGATGGAAATACGATTAAGATGTGATTTTCTCCAATTTCCTACTTTTCTCTGAAGAAAGAAGAAATGACGAAACCGGGACTCTGTTCCGTGCTGAAGCAGACGTGCGAAGAATTTTGGCAGAGCACCAGTATCCCGGGGATTTATCAAGCTCGCGCCTGCACGAATCCCATCCGCAAATTCGTGAGTCGAATTTGCGACAAAAATTTTTTTTTTTTTCCCCCAGTGAGTCCAGCTGCGTCCAATTCAGCGTTCGTCTCAGTTCTGGATTTTTCTGTTCCTGGCCGGGGGCGGAGCGACGGTCTGGGCCGTGGCGGGGATCGTGGAGGAATACCTCTCTTACCCGGTCTCCACCTTGGTGACCTTGACGCACGAGAGGAAGGTCAGGTTCCCGGCCGTCTCCGTCTGCAACGCGAATCCGGTGAAATGCGGGAAGCTCGCGATGTTCCGCGACGACCTCCAGTCGCTCTGGACGAGCAGCGGGTGCCAGGAGAGGATCGCCGCGGAGAAGATCGCGTGGATGGGCAGGAGCGACTTCGACTACCGCGGGTTCAAGGATGCCTTCACAAGGTTAATGAGGAATTAATTATGCATCGTGACGACCGCGATGCATGACTATAACCTCTCCATTCTTCGCTGCCGACAGGTTCCTCAGAAACGCATCGGTCGATCTCGGCGAAATCATCTTGGCCGTGGCGGATAAAAACTCGGAAGCGTTCGCAGCATCTCCTCTGCTCGAATACACGTTCGACGACGCTCCCCGGCTCCTGGCGGCCTTCAACGCGCTCATCACCGCCGGTCCGACCGACTTCAAGGAGAGAAGAGGGGAAGTGCTTTTCCCGAAACTTCTGGCTTTAATTTATCCTCCTGATGCGAGAAGCAATTTTCTCTGGGGAGAGACGTCGCCTTCAGGCAAGCCTTTCGATCGACAAAATCCGCCATCTTGAAATCATCTCTTTCAATACTGGTTCTCTCTCTCTCTCCCGTCTCAGTCGGAACCAGCGAGACAACTGCAGCGGCAGGATCGCCCCAGGGAAATTCTCGACTCCCAGCTGGCGGACGAAACGAAAGAAATGCAACCTCGTCGACGAGCACTGGGTCGTCTTTCGTTCGGTCTGCAGGTGAGAAAATCCCACCGAACCTGTCCTCGTCTCGTCGAGACAAAACGAATGAAATGCTTGAATTCTGGCAGGCAAAACGAGTGCTCGACCGGAAACTTCGCCATCTCGAAGGCGAAAGAGGGAAACAGCCGCTCGAACGACCGAGGTTTGGCCTTTCGCCTCTGCTTCCATGAGTGAACTTTGAATGCCGTTACTTTCGATTCTCATTAGTTGTGTCGTCGAGCTCATATGGTATATGAATGGAGTGAGTCTACAGAATGTAGTGGCATCGTTAGCACTTATCCAAGGCCGTCAGGGAAAGGGGGTTGGTTATTTTTTACATTGAATCCTGCTTCTTGAAGAAATCTACGTTCATGTCATGAGAACTGTGGTGCAACCAAGGTGGCATGACTACAGCATACTTTTTCGTAGGCAGAAAATAACTCGCAACACCCCCGCCCCTTCGACCTTGGCTGTCCCAAGAAAATATTCTCGGGGGAATTTGCGTCATTGATGACAGCGGGTGGGCAGCAAGCGCGGGCGAACCCAGAACTCGGGTCTGGTTACGTCGCTGTCGTTGGGTGAGGTCTGGATTCCCTGGGAGTTCGTACAATCATGCCGTCATCGAGAGTCGGTGCTCAGAGTTAACTGCTCGACTGCTTTCGCTCTTGCACGATCCTGCTCGACAGTTAACAATGATTAACTGGCAGGGCCGCCCAGAGGTTTCCAGGGGTCCGGGGCAAAACGAAACCGGAGACCCCTTGGGGGCCCTCTTGAGGCCCTTTGTAGGCCCTCTTGAGGCCCTTTGGAGGCCCTCTTGAGGCCCTTTGGAGGCTCCTCTTAGGACCCCTTCATATGGTGCAGTGCCCGGAGCAGGTTGCCCCCTTTGACCCCCTCTGGGTGGCCCTGTTAACTGGTCCGATGCTCAGGACGCCGCAGAGTAGGGCGACCACCTCGTCCGTTGAACTATGCTGATTCCCGCACGCTGTCTTGGCCATCTCCCTGATGATCAGGGTGATTGCTGGGTTCACACTGTCATCGTCAGGCACTTCACTACAGAGCCGACGAGCGTCAGTTGATCATCAAGGTTTTCTGATGATCAAGCGTTGTTCTACACCAACGCGAGCCTGGTATAAGCTCTGACGAAATCCGCGAACATCCGAGCGAATAATCAAAATGCCTCTCGTGTGTACAGCGTCCACCCCCGGGTGCACCCCCGGGTGCACCCCCGGGTCCACCCCCGGGTGCACCCGAGTCGCTTCCGCCGGTCGGTGACGATGAACTCAGAGAGAACGGACTCCTTTCGCTTGACGATGCCGAAGAAGACTTCAAAACCGTGAGCATATTTAAACTCGAGATATTTGGAATCGGCGAATGCTTTAAATGAAAGACGACCGAATCGGACGAAGGGGCTGGCGTTCATGGCGGCCATACGGAGTCTCGAACCCGAAATGATCTTTAGGCTCACCGGTTCCTGGCGTGAACTCGTCTTGGACTGCACTTATCAAGGAAAAAACTGCACGGATGAGAAGTGAGTCCGAAAAGGGAAAGCTCTCGAAGAACTTTTTTTTTTTTTAAACTGACATAAATGGGAAGAAATTTTGTCACTCGCAGGTATTTCATCCGGACGGTGGCGTCCGGATATGGAATCTGCTACACGTTCAACAGCAACTTCAACACCAACGATTCCAAGGCCGGGAAGAGAATCTCGAGTCTCACGGGAAGTGACTACGGTAAGAATCGAGTTCGCGTCTCGCCCTCGCTCGATGATGATGATGATGATGATGATGATGATGATGATGAGGGAACGAAGGATATTGCATGCCATATTTCATGATGAACGTTTGTCGTGAGTCAGATGGTGGGGAATGGCAGGGTTTTTCTTTTTTTATTTTCAGATCGAAACTGCCAGGAATTTTCTTTTCAATACGCGAGACTCGATTAATCCGAATGGAACGTTCTTCTTTGGTTCTAGATCTGCACGAATAGTCGATGATCTGAACAGGTAAATTCAAAAATTTTTCGGCTGAGGGTATCAGCTCTATATCTCCCATGATCTAATCAAAATCAATCAGCCATTGGCAACGGTTCACGCATATTCTGTTTGTTCTAATCTAAAACTCTGAATACAGCAAGTGTGACCTCGAATTAAGAAACTCGGCACAAAAAGAAAAGAACGGAAAAACATATATATTGCATTACGTTACAAATTATATCTGAGAGTCTGACAGCTTCAGCGAGATATCATGTCGAATATCGGAAATAAAAACAGCTTCACGTTTTAGCTCATCCTTGCAGAACGGCATTGCGCGGTTGCGCAAGGTTATTTAATTAGGTAATGTTATTTAATTAGGTAATGTTATTTAATTAGGTAATGTTATTTAATTAGGTAATGTTGTTTAATTAGGTAATGTTATTTAATTAGGTAATGTTATTTAATAAGGTTATTTAATCGGACCCCGACCGTCAAGATCCCGTCGTTGCCAATTTCCTAATCGTTCCCGTCGGCTTCGACCGAGTCGAAGAACAGATTCGCGAAAGGGCTTGGCAGTTGTGGCCGAGATGATTTATTTCTCCAAAGTGGGCCCGAAAGTTGTGGAGTGTGACCCTCGATCTCTCGGAAGTCGAAACGTGGATCAGGAGAGAACCACCCATATTTCCTGCCTAATCGCTGTCATCTAATAACGTCGAAGTCGACAATAGGAGAAAGAGAGTGCAGAAAATAATAGCTCCCCTCCCGGGCAATAAGGCCTGGCATTAGCGGATGGCGATCGGTCACCGAGGCGCTGGAGTTCCAGGGAAATTCTCATCGTAATCGATCACTTGCAGGTGCCGATGTAGGTACTTCTAACTCGCGCAGGAATAGGTTCATGCGAATGAAACTCTGTATGTCAGGGCTGTAAATTTCAAGTAAATCTCTCATATTTAGGGAGAATCTACTAGAAGACCAATGCTTTCAAAGTCGGTCCGACATCGTCATCATCGCTATAAAATCTCCCGAACGACGCAAATCTTCCAGGCCTGTCGCTGGAACTGTACCTGGACCAAGACGATTACATGTCGAACGTGGTATCCGAGAGTGCCGGGGTCCGCGTGGTCGTCCACGACAACGACCAACTCCCGATTCCGGACGAGCAGGGATTCTACTTGCGACCGAACACCCATACGACCATGGCTCTCACGAAGGTATGTCTTCCGTCTGACTCCGACATTGCGACATTGCAGTTTCTGATTGTGGGAACAGGTGAATATCACTCGGTTGCCGGAGCCGTACCAGTCCAGGTGCTTCTCCTCGTGGAAACAGACGTCTTTCGTGCCTCTTTATCGATTCGACGAGACGATCCCGATCGGATACAATGTTGTAGTGAGTCTGTAACTTTCTTTCCCATACCTTTCCTTCGTGCTAGATCGTTATCGTCCCCTAATGAAGATTTAGTTAATTTGTATACCTATGGCGAGGATAAACTGGGAGAGAAAGATTTAGGAGTTTCTATCGGCGATCACCTCAAGTCTTCCCCGCACGCGCAAGCGACGGTGGCCAAATGTAACGGGATTTTAGGATTCATTCGTCGCTCGGTTGCAAGTAGGAACTCGCGCGTTATTCTTCCGCTGTGCGGCGCTGATGCGACCCCGGTTGGAATGTTGCATCCAGTTTTGGAGGCTCACGAATGAGGGTGAATTGGCGCTCGAGGGGGTCCAGAGGAGGGCCACAAGAATGATCAGGGAGGTTAGGGGACTTTCATGCGAGAAGCTTTAAGACGATGATTAAAGGAATAGATCACGTCGAGCGTGGTAGGTTCTTCCAGTTCGATGGCAGCGAACGAACGAGAGGTAATCGACACGAGTTGCGTGAACCGCAAGTGCAGCTCAGGTCGAGACAGGCCTTCTTCCCTTCTAGAGCGGTGAACGCGTGGAATGCGTTAGATGACGAAGTAATTAGATGCTTTTTATGGGCAAGCAAGAAGGGAGACAATGTTGACGTGAGGGACAAGGCAGTAAACAACTAGGATATGCTATATAAAAAATCGCAAAAATGCAAAAAAAATTAGCTTTAAGAGGAGTAGGTCTACCCTAAAATTAAGGAACGCTCTTCCTCGACACATGGTATCCAAATGGGTGTTATTGTCTCTTGATACCACTAAACTACCTTCATATTCATACTTTTCCTTACATTTTTGCAGTCAAAAGTCTTCTGGCCAGTGAAAAAAAGTTGTGAAACATTGCAGAGATGTGCAAAGATATGGAGTGAAATCAGTGTTGGCCGCGTTACTTGTGAAAAGTAACTAGTTACAATTACAAGTATTTCATCCAAAAAGTAATTAGTTACCAGTAGAATTACTTCTCACCAAAAGTAACTAGTTATAAGTAGAAGTTACT